CCTCGGCGTCCGCACCCCGCGCCTGGACTATGGCCGCTGAGGAAGCCGTGCAGACGGCCGAGCACTACCGGGCGGAGGTGGAGCGGCTGAGCCGTGAGCTGGCCGAGACCACCCATGAAAAGATCCAGGCGGCCGAGTACGGGCTGGTGGTGCTGGAGGAGAAGCTGACGCTCAAGCAGCAGTACGACGAGCTGGAGGCCGAGCACGACGCGCTCAAGCAGGAGCTGGAGCAGCTGAAGGAGGTGAGGGGAGAGGAGCCGGCCCCCCACTGCCCGGGGAGAGAGGCCGCGGGGACGGCAGGGTCCGGAGGACGCCATCGAGAGCCCTTTGTTGGTCGGAGATAAATGAAAGGGACCATTGTGACCCCCCACCCCCTACACACACACACACACACACACACACACAAACACATACACACATATACACACATACACATACATATACACATGTACACACATACACACATACATACACACATATACACATATATACACATACACATACACACACACAGGCCAAGAGAAAAATAATAGCCTAAGAAATGAATGATGTCTATGCCTGAACTGGGCAGGCTGAGGCAGGGGGCTGGGGTGTGCTCCCATTATAGGTTGCAATACAGCAATCAAACTTCCCCAAATTGCGGTGGCTCGCGCCTGTCCTCCTAGCTTACTCCGGAGGCTGAGATCTGAGGACTGTAGTTGGAAGCCAGCCTGGGCAGGAAGGTCCATGAGACTCTCATCTCTCCAGTTAACCAGCAAAAAAAGCTGGAAGTGGAGGTGTGTGTGGCGCAAGTGGTAGAGTGCCAACCTTGAAGAGACAAAGCTAAGGGACCTCACTAAGTCCCAGCACAAAATACAAAACGCGCACACACACACACACACACACACCGTGCTGTGATTTCATTAATGATCTTATTATATACCGAGGTTTGTAATTGTGGACCCAGAATTTCAGGCTGGTTGAAATCTGGCATGTAATGGTCTTTGCTGAATGGTAACTGCTTTTCGAGGGGACTAAACAGTGTTTGGAGAGCCCTTCCATCCAGTTTGACAAAGGTGATCTGCTTTGCCTTCCTGTCATTCTTGTCCTGAGGCTGAGGACACTCATTAACTTGGCTGGCTGATTTTGCTGTCTTGATGGTGTCTCTGAGCCAGGCAGGGCCAGGCCAAAGTCCTGTGAATCACCCTAACCAAGGCAAATTGAACTCCTCCCTAGATGGCCTGAAGGAACCTGACCTAGGGAGCCCTGTATTTGAAATGAGTCTTCAGGTTGAAGTGACTTCTTAAACATCACACAGCACCAAAGGACTGTGGTGAACATTGTTCTTTTGGTATTTGGTGGTGGTTGTTTTGTAAAGATTGGCTATCAGTTACTTAAACATAAGTTTTAAAAAAGAACAAAATTTGCTAAGGCAATAGAAGAAAATAAGGTGTTTGGATTTTCCATTAAGCATTTATAAGACTAGACGTATTATCAAAGTCTTCTTTATCTGCTTATAGAGGCACAATAACAAGTAACCAAGAATAAATTTGACGTATGCACTGCTTTTCTGAGTGACAATCTTTCAATTAATTATTAATTATTTATTAAGTTTTAAATGCATACTGGCATTTAAAATTAAGTCATATAATATACCAAAAAATCTTTTTTCTTTTTTTGTTTGGGTCCAGTTGTGGGGCCTAAACTCTGGGCCTGGGCGCTGTCCCTCAGCTCTTCAGCTCAAGATTAGCACTCTACCACTTGAGCCACAGCGCCACTTCCAGCTTTTTTCTTTTCACTTATGTGGTGCTGAGGAATCGAACCCAGGGCCTCATGCATGCAAGGCAAGCGTTCTACCACTGAGCCACCTTCCCAGCCCCCAAAAATCTTTTTTCTTTGTAAATTTGCTTTAGAGGGAAGGAAAGGTCATGTTTTGTGTGGTTTTGCTGAAAAGACATAATTTTTGAGATTCTAATAAATCTGCCTTCTGATGTAATACAGATAGGGTAAATATATTTTCAAATGTCCCATTTTTGTTCAGAGATTAAATATCAAAAAGAGTCAATGTACTAAAATAAGTCAAAAGGAGAAATGTAATTTTTTTTCTTTTTTTTGTTTTGTTTTGTTTTTTGTCGGTCTTGGGACTTGAACTTTGGGCTTGGGCGCTGTCCCTGTGCTCTTCAGCTCAAGGCAAGTGCTCTACCGCTTGAGCCACAGTGCCACTTCCTGTAATTTTTCCTATTGCATACTAGGCCGCAAGTTCTAGCTTCTTTTTTTTTTTTTTGGTCGGTCGTGGGGCTTGAACTCTGGGCTTGGGCTCTTCAGCTCAAGGTGAGCACTCTACCACTTGAGCTACAGCACCATTTCTGGTTTTCTGGTGGTTTATTGGAGACAAGAGTCTCATGGTCTTTCCTGCCTGGGCTGGCTTTGAACCATGATCATCAGATCTCAGCCTCCTGAGTAGCTAGGATTACAGGCATGAGCCACCAGCGCCCAGCTTCTAGCTTCCTATTTTTCTTTCTAAGCTGATCTTCCCATCAGCCAGATTTGTTTATGTTTTGCAGTCACATTAACTTTTAGACTGGCATTTATTTATTCATTGTGGTGCCAGTCCTGGGGCTTGAATTCAGGGTCTGGGCACTGTGCCTGAACTTTTGTTGCTCAAAGCTAGTGCTCTACCACATGAACCACAGATCCACTTCTGGCTTTTGTTTTGTTTTTGTAGTTTATTGGAGGCAAGAGTCTCATGGATTTTTCTGCCGGGGCTGGCTTTGAACCATGATCTTAAGACTCCAGCTTTTTTGCTGCTTAATTGGAGATAAGAGTCTCTCAGATTCATCTGCCTCCTCAATCCTCAGATCTCAGCCTCCTGAGTAACTAGGATTACAGAGGTGAGCCACAGGTGCCCTGCTGATGTTTCCTGTTTGATCCACCATGGAACTCTTATTCAAGTGGATTTTCTACCCACCAGCTGATGCTTACCTGGTATATCCAAAGAAAAAAAAAGGAAATTCAAAATAATTGTGCAGGTGATGGAGGCGTGGCTCAGGTGTTAGAGTAACAGCCAATGAGCAAAAACATCAGATGAGTTTGAGTATCTGAGTGTGCCCATTGAAGTATTCCAATGTGGATGCCATACAGAAGCTTTTTTTTCTCCCTTTTTTCTTTTTCTTTCCTTTTTTATTCTTCTGTTAGTCTTGGGGCTTGAACTCTGGGACTGGGTGTTGTTTCTCAGCTCTTCAGTTCAAGGCAAGCAAGCACTCTACCACTTGAACCATAGTGCCACTTCCCAGAAGGTATTTTTTAATATATATATTTTTATTGTCAACATACTGTACAAAGAGATTACAGTTACATGAGTAAGGTAAGGGAGTGAGTACATTTCCTATTGAGCATTGTTACCCCCTCCTTTGTCCCAGAAGCTATTTTTTGAGCCAATGGCTTATGTGTTTAATTTTAGATTCTTGGGAAGTAGAGATTGGGCTCATGATTTGAGGCCAGTTTGGACAAAATAGTCCATAAGTTCTCATTTCAGCAGGCAGAAGTTGGGCTTGGTGGCATGTGCCTGTCATCCTGGCTGCAGCAGAAGACATAAATAGGGGGATCGTAGTCCATGCTGTCCAGGTAAAAAGTGAGACTATCCCACAAACAGAGCAGAAACTACTATGGGGATACTTCAAGTGCTAGAGTGTTCCCTTATCAAGTGCAAGTCCTTGAATTCAAATCCCAGTGCCAGGGCTGGGGTTGGGGCTTAGTGGTAGAGTGCTGGCAATGCACTTACAAATGTGTTTTTCAATTCCTTTGTCTTTTGTAGTGGCACAGGGATTATTTATTTATTTATTTGCTAGTCCTGGGGGTTGAACTCAGGGCCTGGGCACTGTCCCTGAGTTTCTCTTGCTCAAGGCTAGCACTCTATCACTTGAGCCACAGGGCCACCTCTGGCTTTTTCTGTTTTTGTGGTACTGAGGAATTGAACTAGAGTGCTAGGCCAGCACTCTACCACTAAGCCACATTCCTAGCCCCAAGTGCATTGCTTTTACAAAGGGAAGTTTTGTTTATTATCAGGCGTTACAGTAAATGTTGTTGCATTATATCTAGAAAGCTGAGTAAAAACTAAGTGCTGGGGACTCAGATCTGTGAACCTAGTTTCTTGGGTGGCTGAGATTTGAGAATGGAGGTTTGAATCCAGTTCAGGCCATCAAAAATTGAAAGAGAGCTGAGCGCTGGTGGCTCATGCCTGTAGTCCTAGCTACTCAGGAGGCTGAGATCTGAGGATCATGATTCAAAGCCAGCCTGGGCAGGAGTCCGTGAGACTCTTATCTCCAATAAAGCACTAGAAAACTGGAAATGGCCCTGTGGCTCAAGCAGTAGAGTGCTTGCCTTGAGTTGAAGAGCACAGGGACAGCGCCCAAGCCCAGAGTTCATGCCCCATGACCAACACACATGCAAAAAGTACTTCATAGTCAATGTTGCTATTGAATTATAACTATAAATCAACAAAGAAATCTGGGGATCATTTGTAAGTTCTTTTACCAAATATGGTTCATTGAAAAGTAACAGGGCCAATTTATGGGAATGTCAGCAAAAAACTATTGCATTAAGTCCAAGTGGGACATTAGTAATTTTCTGTTTATTGGGTTATTCTTTTCTTTCTTTCTTTCTCTTCCTTCTTTCCTTCCTTCCTTCCTTCCTTTCTTTCTTTCTTCTTTTTTTTTTGTGCTTTTACGGGGGCTTGAATTCAGGGCCTGGGTGCTGTCCCTTACCTTTTTTACTCAAGGCTGACATGCTATCATTTTAGCCACACCTTTATTTCCAGGTTTTTAGTGATTAATTGGAGATGAGAGTTTCATGGACTTTCCTAGTTGGGCTGGCTTTGAATTGTGATTCTCAGATATTAGCCTCCTGAGTAGCTAAGGTTGCAAGTATTAACCACTGGCTCTTATGGCTCAGTCTTTGTAGATCACTTTGGTGTTTGGGGTCAGCATCTCAGAGAGTTGTTCTTTATTTCCAAGGTTGGACACTGATGAAAAGGCCAGGAAACAATGTATCCTGAGGATGTGCAACATTAATAACATGAAATAATTCAGTAATGTTTTTCTAATTATTTCTTTCCTTGGCCTGTGACTTTTTGGCCTAGCTTGGTATTGTTTTGGAATTTGCTTTATGCTTCATTACATGGACTGATACAGTCTTACATACTTGAAACGAAAATGAAAGGGATCTGAAGAAGAAGAATGACTTTTTCCCAACACACACAATTGGC